TTGAATTCTGTCAAGACAGGCAAGTGAGGATTGGGCCGCTCCATTTTTGGTCTCATCCGACTCTTGTAATGATAGAATACAGCAGGATGAATCACTTTCATGAACCGACTATTTTCCCACCATCTTTATCAATAGATCGCATATATTTGTTCCAGTTGAAGTCTTGGGATAGCTCGAAACCCAATTGACGTTCATGGCAAGGAGGCTCCTTTAAATAACACCCATTCATTATCATAGGTGAACGGCCTTATGCGACAACAAAGCTACGCTTAGAAAATTACCATCATGATAGGTAGAAATTCATAGTCTGCTTATATTGTTAAGCATTTAATAATATATCCTGTTTTCTAAATACAGCCACACCTCACTGAACTACTCATCTGTTTAACGGTCCCAAATTTACGACCAGCTGTAAAAATCTCATAAAATAAAAATAAAAAATTCAACCAGACGGTATTGCACGAAATCTTTGTGCGGGTGTGTTTTCTTTTTCTCCACAATAAATAAAATTAATAAATAATATGAAAATTAAATTAAAATGTATTTATTCAACTTTTTAACAAGAAAAAATATCTCAAGTTGATGTTAAAAATTGCCGCAAAACATTGTTGATTTATTTAAGATGGAATTATTTATTATGATATGTCTCTAATTTGTATTTTATTTTCAATTTTTCTAGTGGAATTGTTCACCTATATTGGATATGCTCCATTATCGTACAGAGTGGTCTGAAGCCCTTGTCACCCCTACATAATATAATTTTTTATTGCAACGCTCTGTAGGATTTTATCAAGGAGAGAGATTCACATGAACAATACCAGAATACCCATCAGTTGAAGGACGCGATTTGGAGAGCCTTTGCAACAATCAAGAAAGCCCAAGTTCGTAAAATATCACACAGGACATTTTGTGCTACGAAAATGATGGTCTTCATACAGAACTTCTCGATGTGTGATAGCGTCAATGAAAGTGATTGAACTGAATCCATTACACGTGCTTTGTATAACTGTATTACTTGTTCTTCGATTGTTCTCATTACGTCTTGGTAGGGATGACAAGACTTTCGGACTGTCTTGTAAATTGAGGTCGAGAAGAAAAAGATTAATATCGTTTAAACCAGATTAGCACAAGAATTATTATACTGAATATAGAAAATCTGGAACACTGCCTAACGGTGGTCCGAAAGTCTTGTCAACCCAATATGTTGATATTTTCTATTTCAGATGGCTGACCTGAATCCAGTACATTTGCTTTGTATAACTGTATTCTATTGTTCTCATTACTTTTTGTAAGGGTAACAAGACTTTCGGACCACCCTGCAGATTGAAGTCGAGAACAGATTAATAACGTTTAAACCAGATTGGCACAAGAATTATTATTGAATATAGAAAATCAGGTAACGCTGGCTAACGGTGGTCTGAAAGTCTTGTCACCCCTACAGGATGTGGCGCGAAAATGATGGTGTTCATGCAGACCTTCTCGATGTGTGATGATAGCGTTAATGAAAGAGAATTAACTGAATCCAGTTCTTGTTCTTCTATTGTTCTCATTACTTTTTGGTAAGGGGTGACAAGACTTTAATTAGGTTACAATAAAATTTATATTTTATATGAATAGTACCATATAAAAATTGACATGTACTAGTGTTATACCATAATACCTATTCTACTGTAATCGACTCTCCCACAGATAATAAGTAGTAGTAGCAGTGGCCAGTTGGGCTCAGTGGTGTTGAGTGAGTCGGTCGATGTCGGACATTAAAGTATGAGCCCCACAACTAGATTGCTGCGTCATTAACTCTTATTTCAAGTTCCTAACGTTTTGTACGTCGAACCTAATTTAGGACGACTTAGTGAAATACAAGCCTCCACTGTGAAAACTACTCTACAACAACTTGAGTGGTGATCCCGTATAATTGATTCTCGACGGGGTGGGGATTTATCGTAGATTTGTTGGGGAGACGAGACCCTTGCATTGGCCTTGACTATGTGCTAATATGCGTCTCTAGTGCGCAGTAGCCCGTCATGAAGATGATGTGCCAACGAGTAGTTAGCTAGACGAGTCACCCGCAAGCGTATTGTTCTGTTGTACTTCCAATTTCTATAAGATTTAAAACTAGACGTAGTTTCATAATAGAATGATTCTACAGCTAGCTTTTCCAACCAACACATCCTCAACTGGACTACCTGAGTTCTTCAAATAATCTTTCCTCTAGCTTCTGAGCGCGTATAGTGCCAATAGAGATTAACATAACAAGCCCCTAACTATCTACTCACTGCTGTTTGTTGTGGTGATCATTGCTTTAGAAAATAAAGTAGACAAAAAAACACACAAAAAAAAAACAAAACAATAGAGACATTGGGAATGAACGACAGAAAGGACAGAAGCAGTGACGGACAAAAAGTGTTGATTTGGATGGTGTTTTTGTTTTTTTTTCTTTGTTTGCCTTTTCGACGAGCAAATTATACTCGACGAACAATTTACTTTCGCTTTCTTTTGTGCGTGTCATTTTTTTTTAATGTTTTGTTGCTTACGCGATAAAACTCCGACGACTTTGGCTCAAAGCAAAACAAACGGCCAATTGAGTTTCACTTTGTTAAACCAATCAGCCAGCTATTGTTGAGTTGAAACCCCAACTCAAATCACGCGACTCAAATGTAAAGAACATTACCTGTCATTAAATCTCGCCTGAGCGTCAGAAATTCATTTATTTTTTCTTTTGTCTTTGGTGATACTTCATTTTTGCGGACTACTCACGCCAGCTCCGATTTTTAATGTTAAAAGGATATTTGAACGATTCTAATATTTTAAATAACTTTCGATATACACGATTATTTTGACCATATATCTTAAAAGAGCTTAACTTGACATTCACCAAAAGTTTTGTATACTATATAAAAGTGTATTTAAAAGTATTATTATTGTTAATTTTTTACCATCTGTCAGTATGTCCTTGACAAGTGTCTGATGGTTATTACATTACCACAACTCCAGCACTCCCTACAGCTTTTATGCAGTGGTTTTTTTTGGGTTTTTTGTCTATATGATTTTGTACATTCCTCCGTTTGAGATCGTTTTGAGTACTCCAACATGATTTTCAGTTTCATGTTTTACAATTTGTTTTCTGTTCGCTTGCAAAGTCTAATCATTTGTCTACTTTCACTTTCATTTTCACTTTCAGCTTTATTCTGTGATTTTTTGAAACAGCTTTGGCCTCTGGAACATTTTTCTTCTTGTGCCAGTTAGATACGGTACTGGTGGCCACAGAGACGCAGTTATTATTATTATTAGTAGTAATATTAGTAGAAGTACTATTATTAGTAGTACCTTTTATAACAATCACCAAAAGTAATTCTTTATTTACTCGATAACAAAACAAAGATGGTATAGACAATAAAAAAAATCAACCGGAAGAATGACCGAATAAAGATAGATTCAGCTGGTGTGTGGGATGCTGAATTCAGATTCCGTCGAGAAGTAAAATTTTAGTCTCCAATCTTGCTTTCAAAACCAAAATTAATGTAAAGAAAGAAAGTAAAAGAAATAAAATAGAATTGTGCCGATATTGTGAAGGAAGTGGAAATGGCGAGCCGAATTCGAACTGCTTCCTTGTCTGTTGCATTATAATTCGCACTAATTTCCTTGGAAAAGGCACGAACATATTTCTCATACTCAACCCAGTTAGGGCTTAAATAACATGGTAGACTAGTCTCTCTAGCTTTGAGTTGTAGCCAGTTTAGATTGACAACTTCATATTCCAAACCTTGAATCACTCAACGGTAAACAACTCCACAATATTTCAAAGAAGTCATGCCAATTTACAAATAATGAAGTAAAGGTATCATCGAGGCACCATGATCGCCTGGAGGGATATCGTATTAAAAAAAATATTGTTTATGTTTTATTTAAAATTCTTGTGTAAATATGGTAAAATTCAAGAACCTCTTTGACCAGGGTTAAAAGTCATGAATTGCGTATTTATGTAAAACCTGAAAATTCTTCGATTACCGGTAAAAGTCCCGAGGTGCATATTCTCAAAAAAGAAATCGGTAGCTTCTCTAATTTCATAATTTTGCGTGTATCTTGTAAAATACTGCTGCAAACAGTGATACAGTCACGTGACAATGTTTAGAAGTTCGTAGAGAAATGTCGCTTTTTACAGCGTACCAATAAAAGAAAATGCTACAATGTAAATAAACGTTAAAGTTAATAGTCCAGAATGGTAACACTAGTTATTAATATGCTGAAAGAAATTTTCATTCCAACTTTGATACATTTCGTTATTCAGATATCTAGAAGCATCATCGTAAGAGAAATTTATTTATTCAAATAAAACGTTGGAATCATTAAATTCGATAGACAGGCAAGCTGCAGTGAAAACGCCCAGCTTAAATATTTGGTCTTTTTAGGAATTTGTTTTATTGGTTGGAGGCTTGCTCTCCAATTTTGAGGAATTATACACTATACATCTGAATTTATGGCATTACCAGTTATCCTAGGCATTTCCTACGCACACACTCACAAAGGAACAACAGTATTATAACAATACTGTTGTTCCTTTGTGAGTGTGTGCGTTAAGCCTTACCATAATTAATCGACCCTTCCGTTTTGAAATAACTTGATTGATTCGTTTTTACGGCTTATCAACCTGTCATATAAGAAGAAAATGAGTAACTACCGACACCGAGGTTCGAGCTTGACACTCTGGACTTAGGAATATATGTTTTCCGCTAGGTGTATAAATAGCGGTGTCAGTCTACTGACTGGAGTGATTATTGAGTAACTATTGAGTGGAACTATCCAGTCGAATTAGTGTGAACTATTGTGCGTCGAAGATTTGGGTTTTACTAGACGTTAAACCGAGCCGCGCTACTAACAAATTATTCACTGAAATGGTTAATTATCTTTGGTTGATTTTTACTCCTTTGTTCTTGTTAAGTATTTATTTACGGTTGTAATTAAATAGTGGTTTATTTTAACACTGAAGTCTTGAGTTATACTTAATTATTAACGGCGACCGTGTGCCACAAAAGAAAGACAGTGAGGGAAAGCAAGATAGAGAGAATGGTGGAAAGAAAATGATTATCGTATTGATGTCTGTATTGAAAGGGAGAGAGTGACAGAAAGAGAGAGATGTGGAGAAAATGATTATAGTGATGATGTCTATAATGAAAGTGTCATATAGAAAGAAAATGAGTAACTACCGATACCGAAGTTCGAGCGTGACATTCTGGACTTATGAATATATGTTTAGCGGTGTCAGGCGACTGACTGCAGTGATTATTGATTGGAACTATCCAGTCGAATTAGTGTGAATTATTGTGTGTCGAAGATTTGGGTTTTGATTTAGGATTTACGGGACGTTAAACCGAGCCGCGTTAGTAAAAGATATTCACTGAAATGGAAATTAGTAAGAAAAGCTAGAGCTTGTGGGTCATTAAATCACCAATCTCATTTGTGTATACATGAAAAATTATACATCAAGTTTCTGAAAAATAAAAACTTTCTGAATCAAAGAAATGAAATAACTATTTTTGTAGGCACTGTCAAATATTTTCCTTAATAATTAATTTTGGAAGAAAAATAAAATAAAAAAATAAAAAAGAAGAGAAATGAAACATACATATTTATACTTGATCATTAATTAGTTATTCCTAACATCGCTCGACAATGGAACGAAACTCTGGATTTTTTAAGTTTCATTTTTTTATAATTAAGTTTACAACTTTAGTTTCAGTTTTGAAACAGAAATTTCTGTGTCGCGATGGAATCATATTTAAGAATTGCATAAATATTTAAGCTTACCTTTTAAAAGTCAACGGTAATTCTTCTGTCGACACTTAATTTAAAGACAATTTGATGTGCGTAGGTCCTTACTTTTCCCTACAAACAATTATTCATGGGTGAATTTCTCTGGATTTCGCAATTAATTTCGATTATTCCCAAACTTATTTCCAACTCATAAAAATTGTTAACATACAGAATAATTTGTCGCAAAAAATCACGTAAAAAATCGCCGAAAACAATCACACTAATGAAATATTGGGAATTCAAAATTTCAGGATAGCGGGCCCAAGTCCGGATTTTAAGTTGCTCAAGGAATCGGCCTGATTCCAAAATCGTATGATATGACGTCACACATTAACAGAGCAGTTACTTAAATATTTGTATCTATAAAAAAAAATGTATAAACATTAAATGTCTGAAAATAATTGTCGGACTTTGTCCATTTCATAATGTGTGACGTCATTTGTTTACATTTGATACGCCATGAGCAGATATGAATGTACGTGAGAGATTCATGGAAGATTGAAGTTTAAATACAGTAAATTCGACCTTGCTAACCGAAAGCGCCTCTGTGGCCAAATCGGTTAAAGGCACGTCAAGGTAAATGACGGTTCCGTATAGGATACAGGTTCGAATCCTCTCGGAGGACGAATATTTTCTGTGAAAGTTTCTCGGACATTCAGGCCGGTAAATCTTGTTTAATACTGTTTATTATAAACAGAGCATTTACTTAAATATTTGTATTTATAAAAAGAATGTAATTATTTAAAAAAAAATATGACATAAATATGTTATAAAATCACTACAAAAATAGCCATTTTGTTTCAACACCCTCGGTGTCTTATCAATTGATGATGTTGAATGTAAAATAATTCCTTCAGTATACACGAATTATATACTTGGATAAAAAGAATGTATAAACATAAAATGTTTTAAAATATATATATAACTGTTTTGTCGTGCACGACGCAGTTACCATTTTACACTCTCTACGGCAACATTTAAATAGAAACTGAGGGCATAGATATGGAATTGGCCGTTAAACCGACTCTATCTAATTTCTAAATATGTCATGTGGAAAAAAATTCTTCAATAATCCCACCAAGTCCCTCCTCCCATATACGAACATTGTATCGACATATTAATATTAGCAAACAGCTTAGCAGAAATGAAAATCCTAAGGAAACATTTGAGAATGACTCTGTCCTGGACATTCCCTACGAACCCAATTCGGAAATAATATCTCTTTCTTTGGCCTATTAGACGATGTGGATAGCCATAATTTTACCACCTTTCTTCACAAAAAAATTCACTCCGCCAGAAAAAAACGGCATGGTGTACTGCTTGGAATTCCCACCGGAAGCTCCAATACGAACATTTCAGTGTGACAATCTGAAGACAGTGCAGAGTATTCGGAAAGGGCTGGATGAATCTAATGGCGATTAGGAGGGTGTTTGGAGTGATTATTAGTGATGGCGACGTTATGTCTCCATTCATCTTCCACCGGGACTCAGGCTCAACACGGAGGCCTACACGTAGAGCCTTGAAGAAGTAGTACTTCACTGGGTCAAGAGGGTGGCTACTGGAAGACTCTATGTTTGGCAACAGGGCTCTGCACTATGCCACACAAGCAGGAGAACCTATTCATGGCTGTTACACAATTTCTGTGACCACATCACCCCTTACAGCCAACTGCAACCCCATTGATTATTA